CAGGGATATGGGGTCTGCCCCCGTGGCAGTCTAAGGCTGCGCTCCGTCACGCAGCAGCTCGGCTGCGCTGCAGGGTGACGAGGCTGCGCACCCCACGCGGGGCGCTCCCACGTGGGTGTTTTGAGACGGTGCCACATAAACACGTAAAATGAGATTGGTTTGTGGAGAACAGAGCTCTAAACTCATCTAAGCTCCAAAGGTTTCTGCTTGCCAAATTTAAAGGCTCATACCAATTAACACCACTGAAGCACTATTCCTAAATATAACTTTTGGGGGGATATAAGGCTTGTGTGTTAATCTTTTTATTTTGTAGAAATGATAGGTAATAGTGTGGGCTGGATGTATTCACTAATTATTAGTAGTATTAATTTATTTTTATTAAGGATATTTCCCATAGGAAGCAGGTTTCATGCATGACTTTGGACAAAATATAATCCACCATCTGATCTGCTCTAAAATTCCTGCTTTTTTTTTAGCTGAGGGCATGATGGCCAAAAGCTGTATCATCCTATTGCTTATTGGTATTTTTTAACCTATATCTCAACAACACTAATTATAATCTTAAATATTTATGTGGATATATAAATACCAAATTATTTTTCCTCACACTGAAAAAGAACCTTGAAGAGCTGAAGATTCTTAATGAATCTTCTAATAAGCAGTATGTTCAGTTTGAAAATACTGTCTTCCCTCATTATTTTTCTCTGGAAAAAAAAATGACTTTGGTTGCTTTTTTATTTCTATAACAAATAGTTTCCTTAATTTTAACTAATCTTTGAGGAGTTTTTCTTCAAATAACGAGCAGGACTAGCTAGTGAAACAATATCACCTTTTATTAGTGAGGCAAGATTTGAATCACACAACATGCAAAAAAAGAGGGGGAAATATTTTTGTGAGGAAAAGTCATCAAGCTGTTGAAAGAGGCATGTGAGTATTAGGAATAAGATATTGTTAATTTATATTCCTGCTTGTTAGAAATAAAAAAGGTTATCAGTAGAAATGATTATATGATTTATCATCTTCTATGCTTTTATTAGACTTACAGGAAAATGTACTTAATCCCAACTTTTACCATCTCTTGTAATAAATTTGCATTTTAATAGAACAGAGTGCTTGAGAAGTCAGAGGGCGAGCTGGACAGAGGTAGCATTTTGGCATCACTGTTCTCGTAAGCGAATGAAGACTGACAACCACTGAGCGCAGTCGGTGCTCTTCTGAAGAAGAATATAAGCCATGGTAAACAAAAATAAATCCAGGCCTGCAGGGCCTAATGAAAAAATAATCCTCTTGAGAGGAAAGATCATTATGCACCACCACACTAAAGTTGCCATCTACTATCCTGACAATTCTGGAGCTGCTGGACTCCAGGATTTATGTCCACGTGCGTTGAATCAGGCTGCATATTTCCTCGGTACTGTCAGGGCAACCTGATCTGCCCTATAATCTTTCTTACTTTCTGGTTGTTAAAATATCAGCACTATGCATAATTTAAGCAGGGTTATATAGCTGTCTTCCAACACATGAGGACAACAGGACAGATTACAGTAATATTTCCTGATTGGCAAATGAAAGGTAAGGGAGTTGCAGTTTCATTAAAATGCTGATAAGCTGCTGTGAGGGACAGGCCTGTTCTCCCTTCCTGGCCCACATGTTCCTTCCTTCCCTGGCTTTTGTCAGTGGGCTGGGGAACGGGCGACCGCACCGGCTGCATCAGCTAATGCAGTTAGTGTAGAGTGGCTAATGTAGAGTGGTTTTCCTAAGAAATAGAGGGGGCAAGAGTTAAATTTGATACTGCTTGAACTCTCCCTGCAGCATCTCAGCAACAAATGTGAACGTGTCTTAGTTAAGCAAAATATTTCTTAGCAAATTAATAGCGGGAATTTAAAATATATAAGGATACTTAAACAGTAGGATTTAAATATGCTGTGATTCTAGAAACGGAATGTTGATTATACACATATTGAAAGAATTGCACTTCCCTTCCTTGTCTGAAATCTCTATTAGAGTCTCTTGATAGTATCTCAGCTTCTAGCTAACCTTTCAGAGCACGTCGGCACATTGCTGCTGCCAGCTCTAGCGCTAGGATAAAATAGATGCTGAATAGCAGTGAACAGTTGTAAAATTCTCTCTCACAAATCACACTAGGATTTTTTTCTGTCACTTTTTTTTTTGGATTCCAGTGGCTTTCAGCGTAGTACTGTTTGAAGGTATTTAACCATTTTGAGAACACTAGTTTATCTTTTCTTTTATGCATCTTAATAATGATGGCTAGGCAAATGTCAGGGGAAAATGTTCAAGTCAAATTTCAGGCACTGAATTTTAATGTTTACCCTATAATCTCCATAATATTTAAACATTTCTTACAGTTGCAAATGTTAGGGTTTTATCTGTAGCACTGTGTTATGCAGAGAGAGAAAAAAATGTGAATAAACCTTAATTGCAGGCAGTAGTGCGATAGAGAACAGTAAAAGCGACTCTATCCTAAGTAGTAGCCTTTAAATGGACACTGCTGCAGGTAATAATTATTGAATTCTAATTATGTATCTCTCCGCTGCAAGGTATGCATTTGTTTTGGATATATCAAAAAACAAACAAACAGAAAAACAGATAGTTATTATAATTGTTCTGAAAACATTTTGTAAACCTTGTAAGTCTTAAAACTTGATTCAGGCGTTGCAGTGCTGAGAGTGCTGAGGCAGGTAGTGAATAACAGGAGTCAAGAATATAAAGCAGAAACAAGGAAACTGCAGTGATCCATGTGATTGTCTTGCTGACTTAGCCAAGAAACTTAGACCACTCAAGCCAAGATCATGGGATTAGTGATTCTAAGTCTTAACTTCCACTTGAACAGGCCCCCCTAACATACCTGCTTCTCCAGTTTGGTAACACCTTGGTAGACCCCTTCTTTATTCACTAATTGAAAGACAATAAAATAAAATAGTTACTAGGCTTGAGGAAAGCACCACATAAGACAAAATCCATTCCTTATGCCAGGTTTTATTTCAGCCGGAGATGCTACTCCAGATGGTAACTAGGAAGAATATCCTGGCTCAGGCTGGCTTCCATGGCATAGCTGGCAGGGTCGGGCTTAGTCTTTGCAGGAAGAGATACACTCTTTTCTTGAAAGTGGGAGTCTGGAATATCTGGCACCTTGCATGTGTTTCTGCATTTAAAAAAGAAAAAGGAATTCTGTGGTACCATCTTGCAGCCTTCCTACAGTGCATAGAAAAACTCTGGATAATCTTACTGCACTCACGTAACAACTCTGCCACTATCCATCAAGGGTTAAAAAAAAAAGTTGCATTTCATCCAGAACTCCTGAAAGGAAAACCAACCACATGCTGCCCAATTTCTCAGGTTCAACAATCAAACTGAAGGCAAATGCTTCAGGGAGTAGAGTAATAACTGTATCAGAGCTCTCTACAATATATGAAGAGAAATACTTCAGCAGTAGGCAGAGACACTTGTAAGCAGCCTAGCTTTGGCATTCCAAGACTAAAAGCTGCAAGAGCACACATTTCTATGATCAGAAGCAAGCATACTCTTCAGCGTTTCCAAGTATATTAGGAGCTGGAAGATGATGCTTTTAACTTCTGTATTTATTCTTTGCTTTTCAATCAAGATCCACTAATCTGAACTCATCACAGGACAAGATGTGATGCAATGACTTACTGCCCTCAGCCGAGAGTGTTACTGTACAATAGCTGAAGAAAACGTCAAGTACAAAAAAAATCACTGTTCTGATACAAATTAGCTTACCAAGTAAACAGCAAAACAGAGAACTTTGACCTAATTATAGTAGAATATAAGGTATTGGATTAACACTCCAGACTTCTAATTAACCACAATATGTCTCATCCTCTTGATTTTAGCCGAGTGGGCCACTTTTCTAATTTAAACTAGCAGCTGTCCAATATTAACACTTACCACTTAGTGCTGATTCTTGTGCAGCTGTCAGCCTAGCTGCCTGTGTTGTAATTGTAGACATTTCAAGAATAAATTTCAGAAAAATTCAAAAACATCTTTAAGCCTGATATGCTTTTATTTGTGTGAATATTGAAAAAAATAGAGAACTCAAATTTAAATTTAAAAAACAAAAACATACCCTATACTGTTTGTTATTTTTTTCATGCAAAAAGTACAGAACAGTAGTTATTGTTCAAGACATCCACAAAAATCTTCATAAAAACTAATTACAGTCATGACGATTTTACAGCTTTACTTAAACAGGAATACCAAAGTGTGACATGCACATACCAAAATAATTTTAAGATGCTATAAATTAATCCAACTTTGGTACTGCTTTTCAGATAAAACTTGTTTACCAGTGGACTACTAGAGAAAGAAGATGCGTACTTAAGCCACTTAATTTATTGCAGTTGTTACCATGCTTTAAGAGGAATACTTCATATAAATTGAAACTATTGATTCAACAGACAAGAATTTATCTTGTTTGGGAAATCTTGTTTCTTTGATACAATTCTTTTTAGTCCAATAAATTAAACATTGAGAAGCCACACATGCTCATCAATAGTTCCTCTCTCGAGATCTCATAAATGTCAGCACACTATAATGCATTGCTGTTATAGCATCTCTTCTCCTTTTAAAACATCTGAAATTCAAACCAAACTTTTTCTCAGTAGTAAGAACCAAACTTAGAACTTCTCTCTAAAGAAAGACACAGTATGTGCCTTTCAGAAAGAACCGTATTAAGACCATGTGCTAGTATTGTAAGTTGCACACTAGTCCCCTGACCTGTTTTCCAAAGTGTAACAGAAAAGCATACTAATAATCATACAAAGGAGACAGAAATTTAATCTAAGATCTGCAGTATCTACACAAACTTCAGATATGCCTCTATTACTCACAAAGGGTTCTTCTTTTTTTAGTTTTCACTACACATAAACAGAAATGGACTTCAAACCTGACTCTTCAGTTATCTAATAGACTGTGGAAAACTTAGAAAACTGAAAAGAGACAAAGCCCAAAGCCCAACTGACTTTTTTTACATGTTGTTACGGGACCTTCAAAGCACAAGTATCATCAGTAGGGATGGTAACGAGGCCCAGGGTTATAGGAGTTGTAGCCATACTGTCCATAGGGGGAAGAATAAGATTGTCCTTGTCTGTGCTGCTGGTAGTTATTGCCCCAACTTCTTTCTGGCCTCTGATTAGATCTGTGGTCACCTTGCCAGTTGTATCTGTCCCCTCTAAAGTATCTGCCATCCTGAAATCTGTAATGAAAAGAAGCGTCTTAAAATTTTGCACAAACAAGAGATTTTAAAATATGAACTTTTAAATATTTCCACAAGAACTGTCACTCGACTACTTACAGTCTCCATTACTTACTGTTTTTATAACTCTGATAAAAATATAATAATCTGAAATCTTTTGTTCATTTCCTACTATTACCCAGCATATCATTTGCTGAGCAGGGAAGGACAGAGTGCTTCCTAACACAAAGCATTCACAATGTACTAGAGGAACTCCTAGAACTTTGAGTAAAGACTCCAGGACACCTTACCTAAAAAGTGGCCAGATAGTCTAGCTCTAGAGAGAGCTAAATCCAAGAGAGTTTCAATCTAGCCTCCTTGATAATCTCTGAAAGCTGTGGCAAGGCAGGTTTCAGTACAACTTAGCTACCAAACAGCCCGAGGTCTTGAAAATTGCATATTCTTTAAAACACAATGCTACCGTTTTTGAGGTCTTTTAGCAGTGACCAGGTGCAAGCACATAACTCAAGATACATTGGAGGAGTTGCTTATGGTATTTAATGGTTTTTAAATCTTTTCCCTACTTTTTAGAGGAAACTGCTTCTTTTCAATATAGAAGCCTATGAAGTAACAAACAACTTCTATTAGCACATTACTTCTCTGTTTTGAAATTCACCATACCATGTATTTGTGAAAGTATCAAGATCTGTAAAAACAAAATAAAAAATAAAACAGTACCGATCTCTGTTTCTGTTGCCACCCGATCTATTTCTCCACTCTTCAACTATGGGCGGTGGATCCGCAGGGCGTTTCAGGTACTCCTGGTATTCCTTATCGTCTAGCGTAAAGCGATGAGCAAACATTGTTTCATACTTCCCGGGCACGTCAACTGAAGAAGCCATCCTGAAAATTTAAACATGGAATACAACAGAAATAGGTTTAGTGGTATATGAAGACTTTCCCTGTAATAGTTACCAAAATCTACTTAGGGCAAATCAAGGATAATGAAATGCTGCACTTTGATTAACACAGTAGTTGAGTTCTGGGCTAACAGTAAAGATGCCTGATTCTTAAATTTTATCATCTAAGCCTGCAAATACAAACGAAGCACCCTCCACTGCCTCAGCTCCCCTGAATAGGTTGTCCCTAGCAGAAAGCAATTCCAGTTCTTCCAACATCCAATCTTTGATAAATGTACTGGAAATCCCAGGAATTTATCTAAATCAGTGTTTTTGAGGGACTGCATCTACACTGGATAAATCAGAATGAGACAACTAGTAGCTACTACAGTCACCCATTCCACAGCAGTGCCTTCGGGTCAGTTTTGAGAGACCTGAGTTAGATGGGCAGAAACTGTTGCAGAAATTAGCAGGGCATTTCTATGTTCACAATTACTAACAGAATGAGAAAAAAAAAAAAAAAAGAAGAAGAAAAAGACAGCTCCCAGTCTACTCCCAACCCCTTCTTGACATCAGAAAGACTAAAGGCAGCGTGCAGAGTTTGCTGAGGCAGGATTTCACGCAAACGCTGCAGATATAAATAGCCAGCAAGGCAGAGTAATTAGTTTATCTGGCAGCTCATGTTCCCTGTCACGGGGAGCCGGTGCTGGACACGCCTGTGTGCACGGCTCCCTCACGAGCCGCTGCCGCCCGCCTCCGCACTCGGTGCGAGTTGGGCCCCACGGCTCCGCTCCCCCGGCG